AGGTACAATGTAATTAAAAAATAAAAGATTTCAAATAATAAAAAACGTTTATTTAAAAAAAAATCACACTGCAAAAAAATAAACTATTGCCATTTTATGCAGTTACCACCAGATTAATTCATTGTGTGCTCATTCATTTTGCTTTCGGTTTTGTTTCATTTTTGCGGATCTAAAATCTTTGCTTTTGAGTTGAAAAGTTTTGCGAGTTGAAAACTGCAGCTCAGTGGGCGGGATCTTATGAAACACCTTATTCTATTGGTCATCTTGATTGAGGTCACAGGTTGGCCACGCCCATTACATTTTCGCGCGGTTGGAATTGTCTTCCGTGACAGGAGCGAGCTAATGGCAACAGGTCTTCTTTAAGGTAGGTTAACTGAAACTGTATAATAACTTGTGTATTACCATCCACATTTCCCATCTGATTATGTTACGACTGCTAGTATTAAACTTTGTCTAGTCTGATTAGCTGTATGTCCACCAACATAATCTGGATGCAGACGCGATGGAGAACAGTTGTGCACGTCTCAGCTGTGCACATACTTTTGAACACATGTATTGTTAATATCTTGCACGTATTTCATCTAATGTTAGTCAATCGAGAGTATTCATCAATATCACTGACTAGACAGAGTTTAGGAAAATGTGGATGGTAATTTTCAAGATATTATACACTTTCAGTTAACTTACCTTGAAGAAGACCTGTTGCTCGCTCTGGTCACTAAAGGGAGTCCAGTACAATCGCGTGAAAACGTAATATATGTGTATATCATGAGATGGACTGTAAACTCATTTTTAAAAGGTAGATTCAGGTCGCTGCCACGATTTCATATTTAATTATAGCTGACAGGCATTTTTGAACATCCCTACAACTACTGTATTATTACTTAACACGCATATGCATATATATATATATATATATATATATATATATATATATATATATATATATATATATATATATATAAAATAATAAAAAACGTTTATTTAAAAAAAATCACACTGCAAAAAAATAAACTATTGCCATTTTATGCAGTTACCACCAGATTAATTCATTGTGTGCTCATTCATTTTGCTTTCGGTTTTGTTTCATTTTTGCGGATCTAAAATCTTTGCTTTTGAGTTGAAAAGTTTTGCGAGTTGAAAACTGCAGCTCAGTGGGCGGGATCTTATGAAACACCTTATTCTATTGGTCATCTTGATTGAGGTCACAGGTTGGCCACGCCCATTACATTTTCGCGCGGTTGGAATTGCCTTCCTGACAGGAGCGAGCTAATGGCTAGCAACAGGTCTTCTTTAAGGTAGGTTAACTGAAACTGTATAATAACTTGTGTATTACCATCCACATTTCCCATCTGATTATGTTATGACTGCTAGTATTAAACTCTAGTCAGCGATATTTTTGAATTTTCTCGATTAATATTATGATGTCGGCCATCAGTACTGTACAGTTGTAAAGGGCAACGCAAGGCCAGTGTATTTTGGAAAATATACATTGATTTACCGTTAAAGTCAGGCTTTTTGTCTGTAGATGATGGCCAGGTGTACAGTAGGTCTGCAAACAGTCTGGGAAACATTATCGGCAGCCCGTTGCTCTTAGTTTCCACTCAAGAGTCAAGAGCTGTCTCTTTGAACTGGAGCATCATATTCATTCTCCACTGTTAGAAAATGTAGTACCTCAGTGTAACGTTATGTGTATTTCATTATGAACTTGACAAATATTTATTTAGTATATTTCGTTTGGCATATGAATGTTAGTTCATACATTAGTTAACTTGAATTAATAATGCATAGCATATCTGTTAAGCAATGATTAATCTTTGTTAATGTTTACTAAACATATTAATGCATTAAAAATCATGATGAACGAGTTAGAGTTTGTTCAGCATAAACTGTTAACGTTAACTTAGTCATGTTCTATTGTATCTCCTTATATTAACAGCTCAATGTAATTAGCCAATGTTTATGGACACATACAATAATGTATTTGTTCACTGACAAGAGAACATAATTAAATAAACAACATTTATTCAGCAATACAAAATTTTTGTTAACGGAAACTTATACAAATAGTAAGTTACTTAATGCAGCAAATACTGAACAACTCACATTCTTCAACAGGCATGTTATTCATGTTTTTAAGACTTTTTACTAACATGATTTATCTCTAGCAAAGCATTAGTTAAGGGAATTAGGAACATTGGTGTAAAGTGTGCACTACTTCAACACGTTACATTTGTAAACTGGCTTACCACTAACCCAACATTATAACTGATGTGTTACATCTTTGGGTTTATTACAAAGCAGTGATTAATGATTTTACCATATATATATATATATATATATATATATATATATATATATATATATATATATATATATATAATAAGAACAATTATGTTAGTAAAGAGTTAACAGTGGAGCGGTGCACACTTCATAATAAGCTTTCTGATTTCCTTAAAAATGCTTAGTTGCTAAGTGATAATCCATGTTAGTAAAGAGTTTACAAATGATAGTAACACATCATACAATGTTAAATTCTTCGTTTTGAAAAGTAACGGCAGTTTGCAGGTGGCCTTCGCTATATAATTTGTTTAGGCATTATTGCAAATGTTTGGTCTTTAAAGGAACTGTTATAAATCAGTTGTAAAGTAATTTAAATGTGGTTAACAAAAGACAACAATACATAAACACGAGAGATATGTGGAATATAAATATTACATTAATCAGAACAATTTTTCATCTGTTTCTTCAGTTTATTCTTACACGTTGATCACTCAGTCTTATGGGGCGTAAAACATCTGCTTTGACTCCTCGGATGTCCACATCTGCGCTGACTCCACAGACGTTTACATCTGCACTATCTTAAATCAACGAATCAATATCTACAATCTACAATGATTCCACTGGCATCCACATCTGCATTATCTCCTTAGACATCAACATTTGGACTGACTGATCACAGACATTTATTATTCACTAAACTTATCAATCACCACCTGTGCTGTGTGTTGATTTTTTTTCTGGAATTGTGTAGGATTTGGACAATAGTAGATTTTGACTTTTTATAAATGATTATAAATATGATTTTTTTATACATTTATTGTTTCCCTTTCTGGAATAAAGGAATATAAACAGCTCTTTAGTAATCATTTAATGAGTCATACAGTTTTATGTCTGTTTATTTTGCTATAAAGAAATATAAATGTTTTTTATTTTATTAATTCAGCTAAAGTATTTCCCAGCTGTAGCTTTCAATAACAAAAAATCTGTTACATAAATGGTATAATACACTTTACTACAGTAAAGCACTACAGCATATGTCTGTATAAATTATATTTTTATGTGGAAGGAATGTGTAGGAGATACATTTATTTAGTAGTGCTTTTGCCAACATATATATATATATATATATATATATATATATATATATATATGCATATGCGTGTTAAGTAATAATACAGTAGTTGTAGGGATGTTCAAAAATGCCTGTCAGCTATAATTAAATATGAAATCGTGGCAGCGACCTGAATCTACCTTTTAAAAATGAGTTTACAGTCCATCTCATGATATACACATATATTACGTTTTCACGCGATTGTACTGGACTCCCTTTAGTGACCAGAGCGAGCAACAGGTCTTCTTCAAGGTAAGTTAACTGAAAGTGTATAATATCTTGAAAATTACCATCCACATTTTCCTAAACTCTGTCTAGTCAGTGATATTGATGAATACTCTCGATTGACTAACATTAGATGAAATACGTGCAAGATATTAACAATACATGTGTTCAAAAGTATGTGCACAGCTGAGACGTGCACAACTGTTCTCCATCGCGTCTGCATCCAGATTATGTTGGTGGACATACAGCTAATCAGACTAGACAAAGTTTAATACTAGCAGTCGTAACATAATCAGATGGGAAATGTGGATGGTAATACACAAGTTATTATACAGTTTCAGTTAACCTACCTTAAAGAAGACCTGTTGCCATTAGCTCGCTCCTGTCAGGGAAGACAATTCCAACCGCGCGAAAATGTAATGGGCGTGGCCAACCTGTGACCTCAATCAAGATGACCAATAGAATAAGGTGTTTCATAAGATCCCGCCCACTGAGCTGCAGTTTTCAACTCGCAAAACTTTTCAACTCAAAAGCAAAGATTTTAGATCCGCAAAAATGAAACAAAACCGAAAGCAAAATGAATGAGCACACAATGAATTAATCTGGTGGTAACTGCATAAAATGGCAATAGTTTATTTTTTTGCAGTGTGATTTTTTTTTAAATAAACGTTTTTTATTATTTGAAATCTTTTATTTTTTAATTACATTGTACCTAGTTTTGGTCAAAAACTTCATATGTTTGTTTGAATAATAAAGACACAAAATTAACCCTGGCATTCATGGGTTCAAAACTTTTCAACTCACAAGCAAAACATTTCAACCTGCAAGCAAAGATTCTAAATGTGCAATAAAAGACAGCAGAAAAGAGAGCAAAATTAATGAGTGTACAATGAAAATTGTGGTAACTGCATAATAGGACAATTGTTTATTTTTTGCAATCCAAAATATTTTATTATCATTGACATAAGTTTTTTTTAATTAAACATGTTTTTTATTTGAAATCTTTAATTTTTTAATTAATACATACTTAATTTTTCTTTAAAACTAAATATTTTTGATTGAATAATAAAGAAACAAATCTAGCTCCATACATCTGCAGCGTAAAATATTTGCTGAATAAGTTGGGGGTTCATTCCGCTGTGGCGACCCCTGGTTAATAAAAGTACTAACTAAGCCGAAAAGAAAACGTATGAACGGATGAGTTTTCTAAATGCGATTGCTCATCCTGCACACTAGAGAGCAGCAGATCGGCGAGACTCCTCAAAGTCCCTGCGCATCAGTTCTACGTCACTGTTTGTGCTGACGCGGCGTAAGCGCTTCATCCATTCGATTCACATACGTGTCTATCTCTTTTCACCATAGCCGAGGATCGGAGAGAAGCATAGACTGCAGACATGGCACCCAAACCCAGCAGCAAACAGCAGTCAGAGGAGGATCTTCTTCTGCAGGACTTCAGCAGGAACCTGTCGGCGAAATCAACGGCGCTTTTCTACGGGAACGCGCTGATCGTGTCCGCGATCCCCATCTGTAAGCGGCTCGTCTGTTACTCATCATGACATTCCGTGTTAGATGTGTCTCAAAAGTGAGCTGTGTACCTAGAAAGTGTTCTATTCTATTCTATTCTATTCTATTCTAGAGTTTACCTCAAATGAGTTGTTTACCCCCCCCCCCAAATAATTATGTAGACATTTAACGTTAACTTTCTTGTTTAGAATCTTTGAGTGTAAATTGTCTGATAAACGCGAAAGAAGATATTTTAAGGAAGGCTGGAAACCTGTAACCTCTGACCTCCAAAGTGCTTATTTTTCAGTTAGGAAAAGCTGATTTTTTTATATATTTATTTAAAATTTAGCGTTTAATAAAATAGTACAGCAGAATTTAAAAAGGCTAACGTTAGTACATGTTAATTATAATGACGTATTATGAGAAGAACGTGACAATTGGTCATTTAACTTTCCTAATTGTGTGTAACGCTCAAATTAGAATATTGGGCTTGAAATCTCATTTTAATGACTACATAACAACATTTAATTGACCGTCAACAATGTTGTAAGTCAGAATGTATGAATATAAAAGCAACTTTACCTCAGTTGTGACACGATTCATATATTGTTTACCATGCTGCTTTGAATATACGATCTAAAATTGCATGCAAGTATGACTTTAAAGCATCATTACCACTATTTAACTTGATTGATTGAACATTGCTATACTCTTATAGCTTTTTGGCCACTTAAATGATTCCCCTTTTTAGAATGTACGAATGCAAAACCAACTTTACCTCAATTTACGTTTTTGGGTGAATCATTTAAGTTTGTTAAAGATTTTCGCTTTGTGCTTTATCTGTGTTTTCTGTATATCTGTGTTCAATATAATATGAACACCAATGCATGATGACATTGTTGTCTTACTTTTATACATTGATTCTTTTGTGAATAATTCTGCTAAGGAAAAGTTTCAGTATCGTCTTCTCAGCTGGCTCCTGCATTTGTGTTTGTATCAGGGTTGTTCTGGAGGATCTGGCATATGGACCTGGTTCAGTCTGCAGTGCTGTATGCAGTCATGACTCTGGTCAGCACCTACCTGGTCGCCTTTGCTTACAAGAATGTCAAATTTGTTCTCAAGCACAAGTAAGTATACCAGTCGGAAAACGCTCACAATGTTTCAGTGAATTTCAGAGTATTTTCTTTCTTTCTTTATCAGCTTTACTAGTTGGATAATGGAGAATACTGAACGGGTGTTTGTGGAACTGTGCTGTTTTCAGGGTCGCTCAGAAACGAGAAGATGCTGTGTCAAAGGAAGTGACTCGCAAGCTTTCTGAGGCTGACAACCGCAAAATGTCTCGCAAGGAGAAGGATGAGAGGTTTGTTTGTCTTAATTATTAAAAAAAAAAATTAAAAACAGCTTTACATTATATAATGAATGAATTATTAATAATTAAGACGAATTAAGACATAGCCTAAACCTCAAAACCTCAAAAAGTTTTAGGCCTTAAAAAGTCTTAAATTTACTGAAATATTTTGTTAAGGTCTTAAATCTTTTTTTAAAACAGGTCTTAATTTTCCTTCGTTAATAAATTGCTACCCAATCTTGCCAAAACCCATACAATCCATTTCAATAAAACTTTAAACTCTTTATTTAAAAAAGGTTATTTTTAACTCTCTTTATCATAAGGGTTTAATTGTTTTCCTTATAATAACATTTATTTAAAAGTGCTCCATGTATTTACTGCTGAGCACACCAACCTTGTCTGATTGTTGTGTATAGAGTTAGTTTACTGTAGTTTAAAAAATTTGTAATACATCTGTTCATTTTTATTGTAGAGAGAGTTTGTTAAAAAGTGTATATATACAAGTAGAGCTTGCTTGTTTTTACACAATATTTAAACTATTTTGCTAAGAAATATCTAAAATATTTTAAAATATTTATATTGAGTTAAATGTATTCGATTATTATATATATATATATATATATATATATTAGTGCTGTCAATCGATTTAAAAAAACTAACTAATTAATCGCACTTAAAAAAAAAATTTGTCATGATTAATCGCATTTAAAAGACTGAAATTTGTAATTTTGGCTATTCGAGTGTAAAATTAATGTAAACACAAGACAAATACTGTTTAAATTCAAAATATAATTCATTATTAGAATTTTGTTTAACTTGTAACACAGATTTCTTCATGTAAAAAAACATACCCACAATAAACCATCAAGATACTGGCTTGACAGCCATATTTATTACAGAAATAAAAACACAGCCATGTTAAAGCCATTTGAATTTCAAAACAATCAATGCCAATAAAGAAAACATTGATTTCCATGTTGGATTCTAAGTGGACTGAAAAAAATGCCAAAATACAGGAATTGCAGATATGGAAAATTATAATAATAATAATAATAGAGTATAGAAAATCTGTGCATGCCCTTGAATAGGTTTACCAACTCCCATTCTATAAAAGCACAAAAGCCATATAAAGGAAATACAAGAGTTGACAAATTAAAAAAAACTACTTTTTTTTATTTATTTATTATTAAAATAAAATTATAATCCACACTGGAAATGTGGGTGCCTGTGTGTTTTGAGGGAGCCTAATAAATAATTAACGTGACAAAAACTGCCTGCTGACGCACACAGTTAATGTTGATTAATAAAATAAAGATGAATAATAAAAGCAATGTGTCAGAGACCCTAAAAAAATGTTTAACTCAACAATGAAACATCAAACGTAACTAACAGCTTTTACATTGTCAATCAAATGAACTTAAACAATTAAAAAATGTAACAAATATTTGTTTGGGCAGAACTACAAAACTAAATGTAAAAAAAAAGTTGCTTAAGTTGCATACTAGTTTGATCATTTATAAATATCATTATAATATCCATATTGTATAAATATTATTGTCACTATAAGCCTACATCATGCTGACGATCAAAAACTCAATGTCATGATATCTCATGCGCTTGTCTTCTGACCGAGTGCATCTTAAAATACATGAATGACACCCGTCATAGAGCGTAAGAAGCAGACATTCTTTAAAATTGGTAAAATAAAGACTTGCAGGTTGAGGAAACAGCATAGGAATTTGCCGCGGCCGTGGTGCAGATTAAAAGTTTTAAAAAGTATATGTATAAGGAAAGATAGGTAACTAGATAGAATAGACAGGAGTATATTGATCTGTGCCCCGCTGCAGAGTGCAGACTGACGCAAAAGCCTGCTCTCCCGCGGCGCGGACCGGCGCGTAAGAAACAGGCGGGACTCTTGGCTATTTTGACGAATACACACCAACGTTACACAGAGCCCAACATGGAAGTTTGTGATTGGGTCAGCCCAATGTCAATAAAGAAAAGAACCAATGGGCTGCAGATTATGTCACACGGCTGCTTTGTCCGGAAAAGAAACATCTTACTTTCAGAGCGTGACAGGTCACTCAGCACCGTCAATCACTGAGGCAGAAAAACATGACAGTCTGCTAAGTGTTTTATGGGCCGATCAGATCATAAGATGATCAGCCCGGCCCAAAAAGTACGTTGAAACAGCAGGAAACTGCCGGGTCTGCCCCTGGCCACAACAGGAAAAAAAAAAAAAAAATGCGTTAATTGCGTAATTTTTTTTAACGCGTTAATTATTTCAAATTAATCGCATGCGTTAACGAGTTAACGAGTAAATTTTGACAGACAATTATATATATAATTTTTTTTTATTTTTTTTATTTATTTTATTTATTTATTTTTTTTTCTTGATAGGGCAACTAAAAATCATTTTCATCTGGGACATTGGTGTCCCTTTTTAAAATTACTATGAATGCAATTTTAGACTCAAAGTCTTGAATTTACAAGAGACTACAAAAGTGCAAACTGTTCAGCGCAATGACAAAATGCTGTTTCACATTGTCACAACTGTAAATAAAGTTGACTTAGGGTAAATAAAGGTACAGTTCACACAATATTCTTACTATGTACTCGATTTAAACTTTTATAATTTTTTTTTTCGCTGAATAATTAAAAAAATTCTGAATAATGCTGGAAACTTGTAAGAAAAAATCTATACTACCAATGACTGCTGTTTTCTAACATTTATCAAAATATGTTCCTTTGTGTTGAACAGAAAAAAAAAGAAAGAAACTAAAACAATTTTGGTAAAAGTGGAGGAGTTGATGAGAGGAGTTAATAATGATTACTATTACAAAGTCTAAATTCTGAATGTACATTAAAACATTTAGATTGTAAAATATACTGGAACAACAACAGTTAAGCAGCCAAATAAATCTAAACAAATATGTCAAATATTTTACATATAATAAAATATTACATATAGGTTGTGTAAAAACAAAAATTGGTTCTATAATTTATTGTATTTATAATGCATCTTTTTAGAATGTACAAGTTAATTAAAGAGAAATCTCAAATGAATTATTATCAGTTTTATTTCTAAATACTACAGCATTTTTTAATGGTTCAAATTAATTTGAATTAAATTTTTTTTTTTTTTTCCAATCTAGGTTTAGTGATTTTTAATGTTTTCTTCGGCTTATTTAATTTAGTTAAGGCAACATGATTTATTTTGTTTTACTTTTTATTTGAGCATTTTTATTAGGGCTGGGCGATTTAAAAACGGTATCGGTAAAATAAAAAATAATTAAAAAATAGTTTGTTAAGAAGGTTCGGTATACACTATAGTTTTATCAAAATGTGGTTGCTGAGCTTGCGCCTTGGAAGGAATGCCAATAAGCTTAGGGTGTAAGTTTGTCATTTTCAGTGCAGGCGTGTGACTTGCGGTGCAAATAGGCAGCGACACGCATATTTTTCAGGCACACCTAGTTAATGTTGCAAGCGCACTGTGATTCATGTAATGCTCTGTTCACACCAGACGCAGAAGATGTGGATAAATTGCGTTATCCGCGCGTAAATATGCGTGAACATTTAAGATTACTCACTTCATTTGCGTGTCTAATCCACTTTAGAACAGACTCGTTGCTGAATGGTTAACGTAGATTTTATTGAGAAATTAACTGCCTTTATGTGCTTTATGAAGGCTGAAAAACGGTGTTGATACATTTGGAGCAGTGTCTGACTCCACTAGATACTTTCAGGTGCACCCAGCTCTGTGAGCTCATAAACTCCTCCAGAAACTGAACCTGGATGGAGGCTTTCAGCGGTGCTTCTGACTAAGCTGAGCCCAGTTTGATGAGATGTTGTCGGTGTAGGCTGGAGGATTTTTTCCCCTGGACACCAACAACAGGCGCTACGTCATAATCACGGCCCCACAAGAGCAAGCTTCTGATTGGTTAACACAGCGCAAATGTCTGCTGAAGTTCAGATTTTCGAACTTGAGCGATTTGCGTGTTAAGCGCGTCAAACAAGCAAAATGCTCAATTTGCGCCACGCCATTCCCGTGTATCGCGATGCGCAATTTGCGTCAGTCGCACTTATCGTGCTGCACTTATCATGTAAATCAATCACGCTTGACAATTCTTCCGCGTCTGGTGTGAACAACATAAGTAGAACTAACCAATCGGCTTCATACTTTATGGAATATACACATTTCAGTAACGGTAACCTAATTACCTCAGACAAACAGCACATCCAAACACTGCAGTGCTTTTTACTTTTCTCCATATACTTGTATTGGAGCTGAGGCAATGATTTGTGTGTTTGCCATCCTCTGAGAAAACGCTTAATGGTCGCCTAGTTACAAAAAGACAGTGGGGGAGCATGAGAGCACAAAGCCCTTTGAAAATGGTCAAGGAAACCATGCGCTCATGCTTTTCGCATGCAAGTTTTGGGTTGTCATTGCCACTTCAGGTCAGAATAACAACACATGTGAAAATGAGTGCTGTATCGCATTAGTGAGGAGATTGTAAATAAAAAGGATGTTAGGATGTCGCCAGAGTGGCTTTTTGGTTTCTTTTCTTGTACATCCCAGTCACTAGCTCCCCATCTGAAAGATTTTTTTAGCATAAGGGTAATGTAGTCATTCAACTTCACAATTTTTAATGTTGTTGCAATATGATAAGTATTTGAATAATAATGCAAGTTGCTTTACTTCAAAGCTCAGATTTGACTCATCATTTGTTTTGTTAACTGTTTCATTATTATTCACACCTTAAAGTTTGCTTTGATTGTTCAGCAAGAGTCTCTTTAGCACTTATGCTTTTTTTTTTTTAAATAAATTACATATTTTTGTTTAAATATTTTTGTTTTTGACTATTAAAACTATTTGCTTTGGTAATATTGGTAAGTTAAATTAAAGTGATTAAAATGTCCTGATATCCCTAAATGGATTCTAAAGTATTCAATAATTATCCATACCAAAAAATATGTGAAACATGATATTATTTAAAGAAATTTTGCTGCATCGTCCAGCCCTAGTTTTTATGTAACATGTTTTTATGTAAGTTTTATTTTTCAGTTTAAGTTAACTACACTGGTTATTATTAAAGACATTGGTTGACCAATTCATAAGAAATGTTTGTTTTGCCTTGGAGATGGCACAATAAATGTTTATTCTGTGACTTAGTGTAATTTATTGTTTTGCTGCAGGATCCTGTGGAAGAAGAACGAGGTGGCGGATTACGAGGCAACCACTTTCTCCATCTTCTACAACAACACTCTGTTTCTGTTGCTCGTCATCGTTGCCTCTTTCTTTCTGCTGAAGAACTTCAACCCAACAGTGTAAGTTAACTGTAGTGTTGGCTGGTGAAGTTTGTTGATGGGTCGAGATGTTTACCGCTCTTAACGTTTACCTTCTGTCTCCGTCACAGGAACTACATTCTGTCCATTAGTGCCTCTTCAGGTCTGATCGCTCTGCTGTCCACAGGGTCCAAATAAAATACTGAATGAATCATGAGAAACCAAGGAACAAACAAATGAGAAGATCATGGGATTGAGAGAGTCAGTGTGTTAAGACTTTTTGTTTTGTGGGAGGTATCATTTCATCTGTTTATGTTTCATGAAATTTATGATCAATTAAGGCCTTTTTTTTGTTTTGTACCAATAAAAGACTGTTTACTGATGTTTGTTGTCATATTTTACTGAAAAGTGGGGCAGAGATGAAATCTCAAAATAAAAAAAATACATACTACAGTGCCTAAAGGATATTGTCATAACCCTTTGAAATAGTTTATTTGTAACATTTTAAAGTCAAATAACTTTTCCAGGCTTTGAAATTAGGCATGGGACGATAAGTGTTTTCAAGGTCTACCGCTGTTTAGAAAAAGTCAAGGTTATAAAACCACCAAAATCTTCTGCTATATCGTTCCTAAGCTATGTGTAAGATTTTTTTGTTAGGATAACAGTATCCCCAGCAGAAAATATATCCAAATATGCAATAAAATATTAAATATACAATATTAAATTGTAAAGAAAGCTGTATTTGAAACTAATGAAGACAGCAGTGAATGATTAATTTTCATTATTCAGCCTGTTTACTGTTCCAAAATACTTAATGTTTAAACTGTAATAATCACAATACTGTAAGACTGTAATTTTTTTTTTTTATCCAAGCTGATCATACAGTTAGAAACTAATACCGGCCCGTGCCTATTTTAAATGTTTTTTTGCAACTTTATCCTGAAGGTCTTTTGAAAGCAGGGTGTAATGTGATTAACATCCTGCTTGGGGATAAATCTCTTGGACTTTATTTTTACTCCACCTTTGAGTGTGTCTGGAAAAAACATTTCTATTATTATTTTTTTTAAAGTACTAATACATACCTTCTGCATGTTTATAGATGAGACATTGGGATCTGAGTGAGACCCTCATGTTGCAAATTGTAAAATAACATAAAATTTTATGAGGTCAGCCTATTCATGTAATGGGGGTCACACACCAAAAATAAAATATCTACACCTACATAGGTAACCCAACAGTATTATGTCTTAACACACACACAAAAAAAAAAATAATTAAAGTGAGGTTTGAACTCAGGTCAGCAGCGTCATAACACAACGTGCTGACCACTCAATCACGATGGCTGTTAATGGTGTGTTTTGTATATCTTCCTCCAAAGCTGTCATGTTTGGAATCACCAGGACTTTTCCTTGAGCTGCCTGGCCATCTAAGCTGGTTGATCAGGGGAGAAAGGCCTTACTTGGGGAGGTGATGAATAACTTGATGGTCAGCTCCAGCGTTGTTCAGTGCAGAGAGGAGAACCTTACAGAAGGACAACCATCTGTGCAGCAATCCACCAATCAGGCCTGTATGGTACAGTGGCCAAACGGAAGCCACTCCCTGCCTGGAATTTGCCAAAAGGCATCTGAAGAACTCTCAGACCAAAAGAAACAAAATTCTCTGATCTGATAAGGCTAAAATTGAACTTTGGAGTGAATGCCAGGCAGTACATTAGAAGAAAACTAGGCACCATTCATCACCAGGCTAATACCATCCCTACAATGAAGCATGGTGGCAGCATCATGCTGTGGGCATATTTTTCAGCAGCAGGAACTGAAAGACTAGTCAGGATAGAGAGAACGATGAATGCAGAAATGTGCAGCGACATCCTAAATGAAAACCTTCAGAGTGCTCTTGACCTCTGATTGGAGCTACAGTTCATCTTCCAGTAGGACATTGACCCTAAGTGCACCATCAAAATATCAATGGAGTGGCTTCACAACAACTCAGTGAATGTCCTTGAGTGGCCCAGCCAGAGCCCAGCGCTAAATCCTATTGAACATTTCTGGAGAGGTCTAAAAAATGGCTGTACACCATCACTTCCAATTCAACTTGATAGAGCTTGAGAGGTACTGCAAAGAGGAATGGGCAAAAAAATCCCAAAAGATTGGTGTGCCAAGCCTGTGGCATCATATTCGAAAAGACTTAAGGCTGTAATTGCTGCAAAATGTGCATCAACAAACTAAGGCTGTGAATACTTATGTACATGTGATTTTTGATTTTTTTTTATTTTTAATAAATTTGCACAAAATCCCAATTATTTTTTTTCACATTTGTCACTTTGGGGTATTGTATGTCGAATTTTGAGGAAGTCAATGAGTTTAATCCATTTTGGAATAAGGCTGTAACATAAAAAAAAGTGGACAAAGTGAAGCGCTATTAATACTTTCCGGATGCACTGTGTAGCACAACAGTTTGTAATGTTTTGATTTAGTGGCTAATTCGTAATCATTCATACATTTTAATACAATCTTCACATTTCCCAATGAGGGGGTAGTAGTGGGGTTTTGAGGCAAGCTTCTTTTTAAAAATTCATACAAATAAAATCATATTACTTCATGCAAATTCTTGAAAAAGTAATATTTTCCATATATATATATATATATAGATATATACACTGCTGTCTTGCTTTATCTCATACACCACTATTTTAAAAGGTTATGAAAAACCAAATCAGTGTCTGACCATCTGAGATTAGACATGCATATGAATATTACGGTCCTAATTTTCATCACACTGGGAATATACTGTACTATTTGTTATTCACTAAGGCATCTGATTATTTTGACCTGAAACGTGACATCAAACTTAACGAGCGAAAAAGGGAAAAAAAGGTTTTATGTCAATGATTTTTGTTCATTCACAAGGCTTTTCCGAGAATTCCAAACCACTGAGAAATATTTTCCCTTTCAATCTCATATTTGTTCCGACACCATGTCCACTTGGGCAACTGTGACAGATTGATGAATTAAAAAAAGTCAGACTGCAGGATATCATCCGCCCTACATAAGAAAACAGACACTTAATTACTGGCCTATGTGTTTTAATTTCAAGCATATAATCTACTGTTTACATATTTATATTTACATCATTTATATTCACTCACTGCTGCCATACAGGGAGAGAGATGCACGATAAAGACCCTGACGCAGAGATTCAAAACAGCCCGTGAATCCAACACACTCTTTTCTCAGAAACAATGTTACAAACTTTAGAAAACAATAGTCACCATGTGGTGTGATTTCTTCATTTGTGTAAAATACATCATTTACAGTTGAGAAAAGCTCACAGTATTACACTCATGGACCCATGGGAGAATGGGCAAGCCCTAATGTTCATGCAGGTGAGAATCAAGGCACTCCGCAGGGAGACTAAAGTAACACTTTATATATGTATATATACACACTGATCTCATAAAGCCTTCTGCGCATCACTAAACACAAGTTTTGACGTCTTTATTTCCTTTGTACAAAGTCATCTTGCTTCCTCAAGGCAAAATCCAGCAGGTTTCCGAACAAATCTAGAAGCTCTTTAAATACTACAGGGTAAAGCAGCTTGTCTTTGTTGACAATATCTAGGTCGTGATAAAGTATGGCTTTCAAGTCAGGTGTACAGTAGCAAGGGCTATAAAATCAAACACAGGCACCCTCAAATGGTACATCAGATTCACTCCTATTATATCTTAATGCTGTCATGCACATTAGCAGCTCCTTGATTCTTAAAGAGACAGTAAACAAAACAAAAAATGAAAATGCTTTCATCGTTTTATACTTTTATTCTTGGTAATGGTAAATGAAGATTTTCATTTTTGAGTAAACTATCCTTGTGAAAAAGAAGTGCAAACTGAATATGATATTTTGCTGTATGCGAAGGGTTCAATCATTAAAAAATGAAAATTCTGTCATCTTTACTGACAAACCCAGCAGACTTATGTTCATCTTCAGAACACAAATGGAGACTTCTTTTCTTTTAAATAAAATTTGACATATTTCTGTCCACATTTCTGAAAATGTCACTCAAGTTGAATGATCAAGTAGTTTTCTGAATGTACACAATCACTTTATGTGATAGTCAAATGTAGTTTACATAAACAGAAGCTTACCTACGCTGGCCGAGAGAGCATAACGCGCTAAAATTTAAGAAAACGCATGCAAAAACAAAAACACAGGCAAATTAAGAAATTATCTTCATCAGTTTGACAGCACACGTTGCAAATTCTCACAACACAAACAACTGAAGAAACGCTCTCCATTTGGTCACAACATTTGCAAATATCAGAAATGTTTCAAGGGGACCCAAAAACATGACAGACCCTTCTGAGATATGGATGTGTTATTATGTCGTGACTGTTGCTTAATGACAATGTTGGTAGTCTTAAAAAGGTGAGTTTTTTTTTTATTTGTTTAATATCCTGATTATACGATTCGGTTGTATTTTGTAAGTTATTAGCCTAAATAAAATGATGATTAAATGTAAAGTGTTGTTTTAATAGTATGCAGCGCGTTTGATAAATACTGTGCATATCTTAAGTTGTTTATGTTGTGACAAAATGCAGCGCATTTCTTCAGTTGTTTGCATGGTGAAAAAATGCAGCACATTGCTTTGGTTGTTTGTGTCATGACTAAATGCGGGGTGTTTCTCCAGTTGTTTGTGTTGTGAAAATTTGCAACGTGTGCTGTCAAACTTATGAAGATCGTTTCTTTATTTGCTTGTGTTTTTCTAAACTGGAGCACGTTAAGCTCTCCCGGCTAGCTTAATAATCAATTTATGCTTTAAATGACAGGAATAAATCAACCTCATTGGTGGTTAATAAAAGGCTAAATAAAATCTCAAATCTGTGATGTCTCTTCACAAGACTTGGATCAAACCTTGTTGATTTATTTATTTATTTTTTATTTCTTGTTTTGAGCGTCAGAGTTTTAGATGACCAGATATTTAGCAAAAGGACAGAAATCTTTGAAATTTGATCAAACTATACCTTAATCTGTGTTCTAAGATAAACAAAAGTTGTATGGGTTTGAAATGCTACAAGAGTGAGTATTGATAACAGAATTTTCGTTTTGGACTAAGACTTAACTAAGGTTTTTATTGCGATTCAATTAAACGTGTTTAAAGTACTGAAAGGAATAGTTCACACAATAATTAATTTTAACAATTAAATTAGATAAAATTTTACAATTAAAAATGAGCTTATCCTTTACACTCCCTCATGTCTGTAAATTCAAACCTTTATGAGTTTCTTTCTTCTGTTGAGCACAAAAGATGATATTTAAAAAATAATACTGGGACCCATCGACTTCATTAGTAGGAAAAAAATGTAAGTCAATGGGTCTCAGCATTTTTCAAAATATCTTCTTTTGTGTGAAGTGAACAGAATTTTCAATTTAGGGTGAACTATCCGTTTAAATTCATGTATATGCAACTTAAAATAAAAAGTGTCTCACTCAGCTTACCTAATAATATTATTATTTGTAACTATATATATATATTTTTTTTTTCTTTTAAAATGTAAGTCTGAATGTACTGAAAAGCATTTAGGGTGAAATAAAAGTACTGTTTAATGTATTTAAATATATATTTTATATTTAAATATTATATTTAAATGTAAATATTTACACATTTGTGATTATGAATTTGCAGTTTAGCACATTTGCAGTATAGTACCTTTAAATGTAATAACACATCACAAAAAACAAACTCCAGTTCAAATGATAAGAATACATCACATGTGCTTTAGTATGATAGCAACACATCGAGAAAAGTATAATGCCTTAAAACAGAGGTTCCCAACAGAGGGTCCTGGCCTTAGCTAGTTCTGTGGGGGGTCGCGTCATATTTAAAAAAAAAAAAAAATTTTCATTGGACAGTTAGGAGAACGATCATGTTGGTTTAGTTCATTTTATCCCCTGAAAAATGGCCAATGTTGTAATTCGTCAAAAATTCGTCTCACTGATTCGCCTTCAGCAGCTAATACTAATGACCCAAGCATACTGGACTAAGGTGAGGAAGCTCTAAACATTTCGGGTTGCAGTGCTAGCAATACTGGAAACACGAAATGCAAATACCTAAATAGCTACCTGAGCTACAGTTTTATTCCATTTTCTCGAAGCAAAGAGTCCCTGACACGGTTTTGTTTTCTGTGCCAAAGTTTTTGCTTATAAATGCATGAGGACATCCAAATAAACAAGACATTTGCAGACAACTCATCCCCAATACAGCAACAAGCCCAGAGCATTTTTAATTTTTTTTGCAAAAGAATTGACACACATCCAAAATGATGGACGACACAGCAACTGACAAGACACTTAAAAAACTTTTTAAAAATTGGCAACTAATTGGCAACTAATATAGGGTCAATGTTACGTTTTTCAGTTACAAATGGCCTACTGATGTTTTGCTTTTATATTTTACATTAGGCTATTATTTGTGGATAAACATACAAATTTATTTTTTCCCCAATTTCTGTTTGACGGAGAAATAGTTTCAACACATTTCTGAACATAATTGTTTTAATAACTCGTTTCTAATAATTGATTTATTTTATCTTTGCCATGATGAAAGTAAATAATATTTTACTAGATATTTTTAAGACACTTCTATAGAGCTTAAAGTGATATTTAAAGGCTTAACTAGGTTAATTAGGTTATCTAGGCAGGTTAGGGTAATTGCAAGTTATTGTATAACTTAAAATGTTTTTTTTTTTTTTAATTAAAAACTGCTTTTATTCCAGCCGAAATAAAACAAGTAAGACTTTCTCCAAAAGAAAAAAAACATTATCAGACATACTGTGAAAATTTCCTTGCTATGTAAGACATCATTTGGGAAGTATTTAAAAAAGAAATTAAAATTCAAAGTAATAAAATTCAAATTCAAGTTTATTAATATTATATAGTAATAAACATACTGTTTGTTTGAAAACAACAGTTTTTGTCATCCTTACTGCAAACATATTTGAGCGATACTATCATTAAATGTTACCTTACAAGGGCCTTGCATCATTTTCCAGGGGATAAGGGATACTCAGGCAAAAAAACAGATTGGGAACCACTGCTTTAAAGCATGACAACAGATTATAAAACCACAATGAATTAATATATTCATCAAAGCAAATCTTTTCCATTGACTTTTTGAAAGTACAACAATGTATAGAGAAACTTATTCATGAAAGTGAACTCCCTTTAAGCACACATAAGTGCCTTTATGTTATCTTAAACTAACAAGTGCAGATTCATTACAATCAGACACACTTCTTTTTCACAAGGGCATCCCTTTAAGTTGTCCTCTTCTAATTTCCTTTTTTAATTGTACCCAAAGCAAAACCAAGTCACTTATTTATAATAAAGCATCATGAATGCTTAGGTTGCTGGCATAACATAGTCTATGCATGTTAGATCAACTCTAATACTGTATACTTATATACTGCAGTAGGGATTGAGGTCAGTTTATAATACAGCTGCATGTTCAATAAGCAGATATTCATAGGTGTATGCTACCCTCATTCAAGTAATTTCCTAGGTCAAAAGTGTGCATTTATTTTTCTACCACACATCACTGTGGCCCACACTATGAAGCAAATAACTCTTAAAATAAAACCCCCTCATAAAATATCTATACAGGCATTCTTGCACAGGCAGAACAGCTTAGATCTTTGTGAATGTGCATTGTTCCACTGAGTAGAAGCTCATCAGTCTGTGAAACAGCTCTGCAGTTGCTGCGTTTGAGCACAAGAGGGCGTCATGCTCTGTTCCTCCAGTATGCGTGCTAAAACCACCAGACGATCCGATGGCTGATGGTTTTGAGAGCGGAGGCCAGACATGGAGCATGGGTGTTTATGCGCTTCATAGATCACATCAGCAAGTGAAGCTCTCCTCCAGTAAGGTGCCATTACGAGAAGACACCTGAACACCAGTCGTGAGGATTCTTGCTGTGGTTTTGGGGTGCAAAGGCACACCAGCAAAAACAGAGGGAATGGAGGTATGGTAATGGAGGACGGCGCTCTAAGGCTTCAGAGAGAGAGAGAGAGAGAGAGAGGTCAGGCCAATGATGAAAACAGATTCGGAGCAGGAACCACTAGGGCACGAACACTGCTACACACACTTCTCTCTTGACCCTGAGCGTGTGTCCGTAGCATCTAGGAACGATAGTCCTTCTTACTGTAGGGCTTGTTCCCAAGTATATGATCAATGTCTGAGACCACATGAGACGTCATCTTTGGAAGTACCTACATTTGAGAATAAATTCATTAGGAAATTATTAGCTGGATAGAAGTTCAATTCATAGTTTTAATGTGACATCACAGCATTATAAAAACATTCATGGAGGGCAAAAACAAGGCTTTCCTTCTTTGATGGACAATTTCATTCAGCTGGTCTCTGGGTCTGACGGGAGCACTTTTAGCGTAGCATAGACCAAGGAATTGGATTTAACCAGTAGCATCTTGTTCAATGGTTTAACACTTTGTGATTTCCCAAAAAAGAGGAGTGTTCTATAAATATTTAAATTTCAAGTGTGTGTGATTTACTGGGATGACAACGGTCTCAGGTACACTGGTACTATGAAGTACACATTTGCTAGAAATGTGAACATTTCAGGTAAAATAGAATTTTTGATAAGATACTGCCTCAATGACAGGTGTATGTTGTCTACCTAAAAAGAGTTACGATTCCAACTGGCACACAACATCATAAGACGTTATTGTTAGGTTAGATTTAGGTCAAGACAGCAGGTGACTAAAAATCAATGTCTAGCCACTGTCTAAGGACAACGTTATTTTGACATCCAATATCAGGGGGAAATTCCGGGAGTTTTCTGGGAAACAGAAAAAAACAAAAGATGGGTATGAAAATACGGGAGACTCCCGGGAAAAACGGGAGTGTTGGCAGGTATGCATCCTGTGGCAGCAGAGATGGGACAGAAGTTTCTGAATCTTTTCATTGGTGGAGAGAAGGCCTGAAATTGGACCATGAAGTTTTTTTCTTCTCAAAGTGGCTTTGCTGTGTTTCACAGAAATAAAATATGCTGTCTTTTTTGAATATTTGCTTATGTGTCATCTTGCTAGGATGCTGTTTAACATCATTTTCTTGCTTTATGGTAATGGAGACTAGGTACTGTGGTACCAGGTATCTTATTTCTGGGTGCATCCCATGTCAGAATCTCCTGTTTGAATCCCACAGTTTGAAGTGGGTGGAATTTTGCACTATTAATAGCCCATTTCCACTCGCCAGTATAGTGTGATACGGTTCGGTACGCTTTTATGGCCGTTTCCACTGTCAAAAGAACTGTACCATACCACTTTTTGGAAATACTTTCGGAAGGGTATCTAGCACAACAAAAGGGTACCAAAAGTCAGAGCAAGATGTGCAGCTGAACACTATTGGTATACAGAGATAAGTCACTAGCTTGTACACAAGCAGGAAAATTAAAACAAAGGAAGCGCCATTTTTAAATACAAAGCTAAGACATTACAAAGTAATAATATATACATATAATAACGAGCCATTGTCGACCTGAGCTTAAACAAACCTTGTCATTGTCTTGATGAACAGACATAAAACCAAGAACAAGAACAAGAACAGAATCTATCCTGTGCAACACAGTTCTTACTAGGCTGTCTAAAGCGCGAACGGTTTCGCTTTCTCACGTGTTGCATATTTGAAATAACAAACTTCTTGAGCTGATAATAATAACGTGCACATAATTATTGAGTTGCTTCTGACATCCGATCCTTTCAGAAACTGAAAAACACAAGAGTGAAGCATGAAAAACAAGATTAAAGATGAAGATGAGAGGTTTGCACTGACTGTGAGCTATGTTGCGTGTTGTTTTTGATCCCAAATAAAGACTAAATGTATGCTGTGTGTAGTTTTTCTGTAATTGGTAACATAAGGATCTGTGTGGGTTCATATTAGTTGCATTTATTTATTTATTTGTATAATTGCAGCCATTACAGTAGGCTATTTTACAGTATCATTGATCTGCAGTTATAATCAAATCATGTTCATAGAAAGGTTTTAAATGAGCATTTATGTATTTATGTGTATCAAGCCTCTGTTTCGTGAGAAGTGCTTCTCATATGATGTGTGAACGACCTGTACAGCTATACTTTGATATTTCATAGAGCGCGAATGACATCGACTGAAACTTTCTTTTTGCCAACCAAAAGGGTACCATTGGTACTTTTGGCAGCGCAAAAGCAAGCCTGATAAAGGAAACCCATACCGACCCAAACCGTACTGGTAATGTTTTTCTTGTTACCAAGTGTTTTAGAATATCCCACCATTTGTAGTAATTGAAATACTGCAGCAGGTGTCTAAAAAGTTGCTGTTGCATCATTTATCTGGTTTTGAGAGATTTCCTTCCATGAAACTTGACAGTTCTATTTTTTTGCCCTCCAGGTCTCTCGCAACAATCACATGACAGAAACTTTTGCTTACCTGTATGGCTCCCAGGTTTTCAGTTAGCTGTTCTGCATTGGAGGTTCCTAATAGCACTGAACTCACTCCCTCATTCCTCAGACACCAGGCTGCAGAGGAAGGGACAAAACAATCTCAGACCATTATACTTTGTGAACATTAGGAGATGGAATGCACTAAAGCAGGGGTTCTCAAACTCTACCCTGGAGGTCCGGTGTCCTGCAGATTTTAGCTCTAACTTGCCTCAAAACACCTGCAAGGATGTTTTTAGAACACCTAGTAAGAGCTTGATTCGCTAGCCCAGGTGTGTCTGATTGTGGTTGGAGCTAATATATGTAGGACAACGAACCTTCAGGACTGAGATTGAAAACCCGTGTACTGAAGTAAGGCTGTACTAGCTCTAAAGTTTACAGTTAACAGGTAGCACCACAGGAAAGATGGCTCTTTGTCTTCCTCTCTATGGAGGTCTTGGTGGGAGAGTCTTACCTACGGCGAGCTGAGGCAAAGTGCAGCCCAGCTTCTCTGCAATGTGACCCAGTTCTTTCAGCTTCGCCTGCTGCTTGCGTCCATCCTCGCTGACTATCTTCTCTTTCAGCCACTGGTATGACTTCAAGACAAAAACACAAGAGTAGACAAGCAGTGTCAGATAAGTAGAAGGAGAAAATAAATATTTGATTTATATACGCAGAAGAAAAAGGTCTGGATACCTTCATAGATGCTCTGGAGGAGTCTGGGATACCGTTTTCATACTTTCCAGTAATGATCCCACAAGCCAAAGGTGACCATGTCATGGCACCGACACCTACAGAATCAAGGGAATATTTATCACCCAAATGAACAGCTGTGATTTGCTGAAGCCTAATCAGTATTCAGTGATTAAATGGGATGATTGATTGATTGATTGATTGATTGATTGATTGATTGATTGATTGATTGATTGACACATGCCTATCTTATGGTAGAGCTCCGGCAGCTGCACCTCAACCTTCTCCCTCTGGAACAGATGATACTCGGCCTGCTCACACACTGGAGGAATCAGGTTAAACTGTCTTGCCACAGAATATGCCTCCTAGAAAGAAAATAAAATACAGTTTTTATACCTGCGATAGCTGCAATTCACTTCTTGACAAGGACTGCAGTTGTAGTTAGTCAAAAACTAACAACAACAAAAAATCTTGTTTTCTCAAACTATTGTTTTGTTGGTATCAAACACTCATGTCTGTCATTTAATCCTATTTCACTATCAAACAGCATAGATGTTGGCGTAGGTTGAAATGTCCAAATGTTTGCTCTAATAATATTCATTCACTCATTTTCTTTTTAGCTTAGTCCCTTTGGTAATCAGGGGTCATCACAGTGGAATGAACTGGCAACTTATCCAGCATATGTTTTACGCAATGAATGCCCTTCCAGCTGCAACCCAACACTGGAAAACACCCACACACTCTTGCATTCACACACTTACACTACAACCAAATTAGCTTATTCAATTCACCTATATGTCTTTGGACTGTGGGGGAAACACCCAGAGGAAACCCACGCAAACACAAGGGAGCACATGCAACTCCACACAAAAATGCCAACTGACAGAGCCTGGGCTCAAATTAATGACCTTCTTGCTGTGTAATATAATATAATATAATATAATATAATATAATATAATATAATATAATATAATATAATATAATATAATATAATAATATACACTGACACTGTAATTTCTGTGATTCCTTAAACATACAAAAAACACAAAATTCAATAATGGAAATGGGATTTACTTTTTAAGTCATCACACAATTTTACATATATTTAAAAACAAAATTAGGTAAACGCCTACTACAAAAAAAAGACTATTTAAATAAAAACACCCCTTAACAGTATAAAAACATGAAAATAAAATGTTTAATTTGAAAAAGTTGTGACATAAATAAATGACTTAAATGACATAACACAGTTAATATTGGACAGTATATATGCTAACTTTTCAAGTGAGTAATAATTAAAATGATTAATATATGTAAGATATAAAAACATATTTTACTTTTGGTAGGGGTAATGTTATGATCACCAGCTACAACTACAGCTATGGACTTTAAATCCACCATTTATAGACTACAATATCCAGTCATGCACCACACACAACCGGTTCCTGATCATGACTGATTGCATACGCACGCACGCACACACACACACACACACACGCACACACACACGCACGCACACACGCACGCACACACACACACACACACACACACACAGCTGATACTTGTGATCATTGATTATTTGGACTATTTTCACCCCTCTGTTCCACACACATGCATTGTTAAGCTGTTGCTGTCCTTACATAAGCGGATTTCCTTGTTTTCTGTTTCCAGTGTTTTTGACTTTGGACTGTTTATCGTGTTTTGATTCCTAGCTGCTTGCCCTGAACCTCTCGCCTGTTTTTATATTATGCTTCTGGATTGTCTACTATACTGTTTGTGCAGGTTTTTGATCCCTGCCTGTATGTCCGTTCTCGTAATAAAACTGCAATTGGAACTACCCCTGTCTGCATGGCATCCATACGCAACAGATAACTTCTACTGCTGCACAATAGAGAACATCTTGACCAATTGCGTCACAGTCTGGTATAGGAGCTGCTCTGTTGCTGACCGTAAGGCACTGCTGCTGGTGGGGAAAACTGCCCAACGCATCACAGGGACTACACTGCCAGTCATAGAGGACATCTAGAAGAAACATAGTCTGCGCCGAGCATGCAGTATTTTAAGAATTCCTCTCACTCTGCTCTCAGACGGTTTTCTCTCCTGCCTTCCTGCAGGTGCTTCAGGCTCCCCCGGACAAAATCCAGCAGACTGAGGAACAGCTTTTTCCAAAGAGCTGTCTCCCTTCTAAACTCCGCCCCTTACTGACTCCCCCCACTCTCCTCTAACTTATACTCCTCACAATTACTGCACTATTTTACATTTGCACATTTAAAAATTGCACATATTCATTGCACTACATTGCACTGATTCACTTATTTGAACTGTACATACCCACTGCACATGGACATTTGTAATTATGTACACACCCACTGTATATATACATTTGTAATTGTGTATCTATCTGCACACTTCTGATTATTAAAAACAACCTGTACAAATATTAATTTATTGTAAATCTCTGTTCATAGCTAATACAACCTGTATATAATGTTCACAGTACATCCATCTGTAAATATCACCATAGTTTTTCTATAACTCCACTTTATAACTTATACCTATAGCCTGCACTTGCTGCTGTTGCACTGCTGGTCAGACCTAAACTGCATTTCGTTGCCTTGTACTTGTACATGTGTAATGACAATAAAGTTGAATCTAATCTAATCTAATCTAATCTAATGAAATGGCTGTAAAACTATATAGAGTTGATTATAGAAAGTCAGCACAATTGTGAAATTTTAAACTAATTTAACCATTAAAAAGATATCCAGACAAAATAAAAAAAGTAAAAATTGTAAAAAAGGTAGAATTTGGAAAAAAAAAGGAATTAAATAAACAAGTACACTGCACTTTAAAATCAGTTTCGTTCCAAGACATAGCAGGTTTACACACATTTTAAAAAATGAACTTTTTTAGCTTGTTGCTTATAAGGAAACAGGTTTACTAATTTTTGAAGTAACTAATCACATTTACAGTGTAAATATACTTTATGAATAAATTATCATTTTATAGAGGGCTATAAATATTTGGGCATATATAGGCAGGACAAAAATGAAGGTATGGTACGTTTTCTAGGTAATTCAAGGAAGAAACTTAAAAGTAAATTGATTCATTTTCCTTCAGCTTAGCCCCTTTTTATCCAGCATATGTTTTACACAGCAGATGCCCTTCCAGCCGCAACCCAGCACTGGGAAAGACACTCATTCACACACATACACAACGGCTAATTCACCTGCATATACCAAATACACCCGCATGTCTTTGTCTTACCCGGAGGAAACCCATGTGAACATAGAAAGAACACGCAAAGTCCACACAGAAACGCCAACTGACCCAGCCGAGGCTCTAACCAGCGACCTTCTTGCTGCAAGGCGACAGTGCTAATCACTGAGCTACTATGTTGCCTAAAAGTCCATTACTAATGAAAAATTTATAAATAAAAAAGTGTGACATCTATTTAATCTTGGTCACTGATATACACAGTGTATGGTAATATGCCACTAACGGTGCTGCTTCAGGCAGTGAACTTGTTTTTCACTTGTGGGATGTGTTTACGTGGGCTGAATCTGGCATGACATCTGAACATGCTATTATCACAGTCACACAAATTACAGGTCATCAGTGTGTGCCCTCTCTGTAAAAACCCTGATCAAGCCTCCATTTATCACCCGTGAATTAATAATGTCACAGCTTAATTACAGCATATCAGTTTGTGCCAACTTACATACTGCTACACTGCAATTATTGCAACATACAGTACTAATAAACACCGACTTCAAGTCAAAGGACTAAAAATACGTGATGTGGCCAATATACCAGGTCAGCCTCATTGGAAATACAAGCCTCAGCCTTGACTTTTTGGAAAACGTAAATTACTGGGTTCATCAGGGTTTAGATGTCCAATAGAGGGCGCTGTATAAATGTTTCAAATCTGACATTTGTAACTTATGGTATGCTTTGTTGTATATTTATGATACATGTTCTTACACATCCATGAAAATGCAAGATCTGTCATAAAGATCACCTTGTACCCACTGATGTAAATTCTTCCTATACACAACCAATAGCATTTCCAAAAGCAAATGTGAAAGATAAGTGCACTGTGAATATGTAGTTTTACCTTGATTTTGCATTGCTTTCATTTCTCTTGAGTGCTTCACTGGACTCGAATCTGAGTGCTCCGCATCACAAGTACAACACTGTACAAAGTAAGCTACCAATCAAACTGGCCACACCACAAAAGTTGTCCATATAGAGATAGATTGGAGCGGCAAACATATCACAGGTAAATAGACAGTTGATTTTTTGTCATTTTTATTTTGGTGTGGTGCAAAGAACTACATGAAAATAATGCTTTATTCAACAATAATATATCATTAGTGTGCAAAGGAACAAAAGTTGTTGGCATCGATTTTCCCCCTAGCGTTTGTTTTACCTAGAAACCACAGCCAAATGGATGTTGAAGCATGTTTTTGCAGTTTCACAAAAATGTTGGCTGAAGCATATTTCCAATGAGCTTGTGTTGCATTATACACCAGAGAAAATACACATTTTTTTCTTATTGCAAACACAGTTTCTGCTCCTAAATCCAGGCTTTTAGAAAGTCAATGATCAGTGATTACTCACTACTGAAATGCTGTGTCTGGCAGGTTATAACAAGTGATGTTTAGAAAAATGTTATTTACCATTATTTCCATTGCTGTCCATCGTGAAGTCCCCCAGTACATGGACATGCCTTGGTTTATCACGTAGGTCATGGCTCTGACAATCTCTGTGGAGACAAAAATTCAGCACCCTTGTTAAAAACAAGCAAACACAACTATTACGAATGTACACTTCGCTTTAAAAATTGTTGCTGCCATAATTTAACAGTAATTCCAACATATATTACATTAAACTTAAATAAAACATTAAGTTAAAAGTTGAAGCATGATTATTTTAATAAGTTAAAGTAACCTAATATCCTATATTGTCATGACTTATTGGTCTTATTATTTTTCTTCATTGTTTACGTGTATTTTAAATCTTAAAAGTAAACATTTCTAAAATATTTTATATTTAGAAAGAATACAATGAACATCTGTAAAATGTTAATGGCTTAAATCTAAAAAATTTTATCATGCTTCAAAGAAGTGACTAACATGCATCTGCATTACTTGGTTATTATTTTAAGTGTTAATTCCATTTAAGTTCCATTTCAAGAGTTTACCCGTAGCTGATGATTGATAATAAAGCTTGTTTAGCATGCTGTCCCACAAGAAAGCCCTGAGTTTATAAGATCCTCGAGCACTGGGCTCCCTCTTGTTAGCAGGGCGAGAGAAGAGTTTAAGCTCAGGTAGATCTAGATGAACTACCTCGACTTGTAAATGGCTAATTAAAGATTGTAGGGATACTACTTATTAAGAGATCATCTATAGTGGTAAGTTATAGGTATATCATATGTTTTTGGACTGTAGGAGGAAACCCGGGAACCTGAGGTGGGGGGGGGGTGTGTAACCATGCAAGCATGCGGACAACATGCAATCGCTGCACAGAAATGTCAACTGGTTTAGTGGGGACTTTAACCTGTGACATTCTTGCTGTAAGGCAACAGTGCTAATCACTGGGCTACCATGTCACCCAATCTAGAAAAAGGAGGGAGGAGTAGGGGTGGGAGGGGGGATTCTTCAAGACTAAGGTATTAAGGTAAGAAACTCTGGTTATTTATAGTAATTTAGGAATCTTCTGATTGGTGAATCCTTACTCTCAATATCACTGAAGTCAAATTAGCTTAGTAGCTTAGCTTAGTTAGAAAAAAGTAAATACACTTACTAATAAGTGTTTATTTTGCAAGGCAGTTGAATTACCAAAACGTCTCATACTCTTGATAATTTATGATAATTCAAGTTCAAACATGTGAAACCACATTTACATGCTGAACACTTTTCAGATCGTTTGTAAATTTAGTGAATCTTTAAATCAAGACTCACTCTGAATGGATCACTTGAACCAACGTGTTTAATCGTGAGCAGATGTTAGTCCACTTCACAAATTAATTTGTGTATTGTTCAGTGCACCTAACGAACCAATTTAACTGGCTAAATGAAGAAAAAAAAAATCTTGTTCAAAAATTAAACATCACCATTTCATATTTGAGCAGTTAATTATTTTCCCCCTTTAAAATAACATTTATTGAGCTTAATTTAAAAAAATGTAGTAGATTAAAAAGTACAATATGTAGAATTGGAATAAAATAAATGAACTTATGAAAGGACGAATTAAGTACTTCTCATGTTTATGCAAAAAAAAAAAAAAAAAAACTAAAGATCAGATAAATGCTTTTAAAAATAAGTTTACAATCTAATACATTTTAATTTAATTGCAATCAACCTCCAATTAAGTTTCCAAAACCATTACAGCACTATTGAACATAGTTCCTATATAAATAAAATTGGCACATGTAAATGCCATCCAACAGATCACACAAGAGAATCAGCTATTCATTTAAATAGCATTCAAATTTTAATTTGCATATATGTACAAATTTATGCAAACTCTAATGGACAATAATGCCCACAAGATTGTGTGTTGGATGAGGATTAGGATTTGAAGTACAAACACTGATAAAAATATATACATATTTATCATTAACTAAATGCATCTTTATGCAAACATTTGAGCTAATTTCTTAGCAAGACAAATCTGTGAAAATTAGCAGGCCTCCGTATTACTAGAAGGTTTGAGGTTCATTTAAAAAAAATGTGGAGTGAGGTAACTTTGACTGACAGGGCAGTTTAAGCGCAGCACATTAAAGATGCATTAAAAGGTGAAGTAGTATATCCCAAAGCTTGCCTACTTTTCTTTTAAACTCAAATGTATGAAGCCTACTTTTTATTCACAAAATGAAAACACATTTTTTGGGTGTTATATAAGTTGTTGGCTGCAGTGAACCATTCTTTATATACAAAAAGGTAACTAAATAAAAATCAAGTGATTCGAATCAGAAACCAATAAAAGGATAAAATATAATTAAAATTAAAAATGAATAGAATAAAATAATTATTCAATAAAATGAAATAAATAAATAGAATAGAAAATAATAGTAAATAGCAAATGAATAGTAAATAAAATAAAATATAAATAAATCAAATAGAAAAAATAAAAAATGTAATAAAATAATAAAATAAATAGTAAATAATATAAATAAAACCGAATAAAATAAATAGAATAAAAATAAATAAAATACAACATAAATAAATAAACAAATAAATAAAAGTGAAAATAATTAGAAAATATAATAAATAAATAAATAAAATAAATAAAAAATAAATAAATAAATAGTTACAAAAATAAACACCAAAGAGACTACTGGAAACTTTATTTTAGTCATATGCTAATATGTTGGGCAAACATGCTGGAGCTGCTGCATTATGAACAGTTCATCTTTTATTTGTGCCTCATTTATGCTGAAAATTCAGAAGCAGTCAAAAAAATAGCCTATTATTTAAAAAGCAGATTTAGTGGAAATGAGCTCTGTGCTGTGTGATTGATTCTTTAACAACAACCCTTTTCTCTACACATAAACATATTTCTATAATGGACTATTTGCTTAGTGATCCACACAGTTCAGCTTAAGAGCTTGATGCCTTTCTGCTGCATATGCTCTGATGCTAAAGAAAACTTTAAAACAACTAAAACTTAAAACAACTAAAAATAAGAACTGAAGTACTTTAAGTACTCACTATTGATTACTAGCTTATTACTTGCTCATTAATAAGATATTGGCTGATTATTAAAAAGTATGATCTAATTCTACAACCCTAATCAATACCTAACCCAAATTTCTACCTTATTTACTATCCATACGCAGCAAAATAGTTCTATATAAAGCTAAAGATCTTAGCTATTGGTTTATAAATAGCAGGGATTTTAATCATTATTTTTAATATGGCTTTTATTTGGTTCTTTAATTGCATATTACATTGTGTTTTGGAGTTAAAGCAATGTCTAGAAACTCAATTTCCAGTCTTTTGTAATAGCATTACTGAAAAGCTGTAGTAAAAGTCTACTATTTCCTCTAATTTGCTTTCATTTGTTTCATTGATTTTGTTTTGTTGACTCTAAGCTAGGGTTGACTTAAGTTCATATACTGTACTTTTGTGTGGTTTCACTCAACCCTGTAAATGCACTCATGAGGAATAAATGAATGATAAAGTACAGTCTAACTTTACATTCTCTTCAGCTTTTACCCTTCAAGCTGATGAAATGGTAATCAGGTACAAAACAAAAAGGCGAGGAGCACAGGACCAAGAGAGTCAGGGGACTGCAGAGCCACGGAGGAACTTTAATATGCACTGCACACAGTGTGAGGAGCCAGCGCTAAACTCTGGACACTATGCGCATCAATGCAGCAGAAAAGCACTGCATAGCGATCTGCCTGCCCATGTCTATGAGACAGACAGCTTAAGAGAGGCATCAGTGCTTGTCATATATGCTTAAAGAGTTCAGATGCAAAATTATCTAAGTGACATTTGTAATTGTAATTTAAAATTATTGTATTTAAATTCAGTAGTTTGTTTCTATAGTGAAGAATACTGTTTTTATTGTCTTTAAAGAAACTGACCAAAGCATAGGAGGCTGAGAAAAAAAATGCCAATTTTGCATGCTTTTGGATTGAAAATCTTCAAGAGTTGATTAAACAAACCAGGTAGAAGACATTTTTGCTGAAAACAAGATTGTTTTTGGTTGTTTCTTGCATGTTTTATGGAACTTCTGTCCAGTCAGAGGGGCTAAAGCCTGAGACACACCAAGCCAACATCAAAGAACTAGCAATGCAAAAACAAACTGTGTTGCCACCTTGCATTGGCTGCAGCTGTGCATGAACACACCAAACAAATGACAGCTAGCTTAAATAAGATTGTAAGGTCTGTACCTGCATGAAAGGATTTATATTTACTCGCAGGTGACAATACTCACATCGTTTCACAAAGTGAAACCAGAACTATTGTCATGTCCACAATAATACATTTTACTTAATACATTTTTCCCGAAGTATGTTCATTTCTCTCTGTTTTGGCCAGAGACAACATTTTTAATTAATGAAAACATAAATTTTTGAAAATGTAAGAATGTAAATTATAATATGTATTCGTTTACGTGGCGACGCAGTGGCGAAGTAGGTAGTGCTGTCGCCTCACAGCAAGAAGGTCGCTGGTTCGATCCTCGGCTCAGTTGGCATATCTGTGTGGAGTTTGCATGTTCTCCCTGCGTTCGCGTGGGTTTCCTCTGGGTGCTCCGGTTTCCCCCACAGTCCAAAGACATGCGGTACAGGTGAATTGGGTAGGCTAAATTGTCCAGAGAGTGTGTGTAAATGTGTGTGTGGATGTATCCCAGAGATGGGTTGCAGCTGGAAGGGCATCCGATGCATAAAAGTGTGCTGGATAAGTTGGCGGTTCATTCCGCTGTGGCGACACTGTATTAATAAAGGGACTAAGCCGACAAGAAAAATAGATAAATTCATAAAATAAAGCCATTTTGGTGTTGCAGTGTGGACTGTGAAAACGGAAGCTTTAGAAAACAATGACGCCTTGTAGTTATGTGACCAATTCAGCTAATATGGTTGACAAGATTGTAAAGTCCATTTTGACAGCTTTATTAAAGATTAATGTCAGTTTGTATATTCACCATATAGTCTCTATTCAAAGGATACAGAATGTTTACTGGAACTATTGTTCAATGATGGAAGCAGATGACAGATGTTTTACAGACATGGAGCTGAGATTTTTGTTTGAG